TTTAGACTTTTTTAGGTCTATATTGCAACTTCTAAGCCTTTACAAATTCCTTAACAGGACAACGTTCTGATATATTTACATGCATTGTTTAAGCTAAAAATATTTGTTTAATGAGCAAATATTTGACATTAATATTTATAATCTTGAATAGCATATATATTAATAAATACACTTTGAAATTATTTTAAATATGCATGTTCAGAACTGTATGTACTGTGACCTTGTGATATCCGCTGGTTATCTGGGTTATCCGGATATCCGCAGGGTTAAATGAGTATCCGGATATCCGTAGGGTTAAATGGGTATCCGGTTATCCGGTTATCCCGTAGGGGTTAAATGGGTATCCGGTTATCCGGTTATCCCGTAGGGTTAAATGGGTATCCGGATATCCGGTTATCCGTAGGGTTAAATGAATATCCATAGGGTTATCCGGTTACCCGTAGGATTTATCCGGTTATCTGCAAAATAAACTGACGGTTATCCGGATTTAGCTTTTTTGGCACGGGTACAGTAAAACGGGTAACCGGATATCCGGGTCCAAGCACTACATGAAGTGATAGAGATAGACCAAGATTTATACAATGACATAAAAAATGAGGTAATTTTGTCCTAATTTAATTGTGAAAAAGGAACTCCTGTTCATGATTCAGGGGTATCAGCTACTTCCTGGCTCAAGTGTTGGTGATGGAAACTTCTGATCAGCTACTTCCTGATTTCAGAAGCATCTAGCTACTTCCTGATTTCAGAAGCATCTAGCTACTTCCTGGTCCTCACCTTCGCGATTCCACTTGCTCTATTTCAGTTTGAATAATTGAGGTTCTGAATCGACAAAGAATGTATCCTTCTAATTTTTATTTCATTATCTGAATATGCCGACCTAACCATATGTCATTTCTGGGAAAATATGATATCAAAAAGAAATCAAGTAAGTTTTAGCAAAATCACTGATGTTTTCGGTTAAGTTAGTATTGTATATCTTTTAAAGAGTGTCTTTAATTTTCTTATAGCTTAAGCTCAGAAAAGATCTTGATAATAAGAGTATTGAACTATTAAGAGTATCAAGTAAGTATTAGGCGCAAAAAGTTCAAAATGATTACGAAGATTTGATGAAGACTCCATGTAGCAAGCATTTTCTTAATAGTGCAAATAATGAAATAATGGCTAAAAGGTCAGTTTGTAATACAAAATTAGTCACAAATATTTTGTTTTCTCACCTTTCCCGCCTGAATATCTGCACAGATTAAAACCAACCAAGATTTCTCCAAAAAAAATTACCACCAAATATGCTTCCTGATAGTACCAGATTTGATAAAGCGAATCCACTAAATCTCATACCATCAGACGAAAGTGGAGACGAAGATCCATTATTTGATGATACAAATGATAATGTTCCGGATCCAAATGAAATTCCCGATTTATCCCCTAGCAACCCGCAAATGTGGAGTCTTCATGCAAATCTGTTGAGGATATCTTTACAATGAATGTGTTCAAAAATTCAAAGCATATAAACAGAAGAAAAGGATAACATCTATAGAAAAGGCAACCTTACGATATGGTACCTCAAAAAATAATAGATTTGTCTGCACATATGAGGGCTTGGTTTTCTCTTGATGATAGGATTTTATAACCAAAATCATGAGACATTGCTTACAATCCCAGAACTACCCGATGATGTCAACACATTTATTCTAGAAGTTGAAAAGATAAATACAATGGCTGGATTTTTGTATGTTGTTTTTGTTTATTCTTTATTTCGTATGTTTATTTTTATAGATGATGCGCCAAAGCAATTCAGATGCTGCCTTCAAGCTATGCACTGAAAATTATGCTACAGCGATTTGTGAGATTACCTTTTCTTTAACCTGTTCTAAGCCGTCACAAATTCCAATTCATTATGTATGTGGTTTTTACAAAACCATAGATGGAAATGATATGCTAGAATGTGATTCCATAGGACACACGGAAGTTGACAATATTGTCAAGATATTTTTGTATATTGTAGACGGTTTGAACAAAGATCTTGGAATACGTCAAAAATGGCAAGTTAATGTATCTTTTTAGTTTTTGTGTCCTAATTATCTTATAATTTCATCTTTGTATATTAGGGGTGAATCTTTCTGTCCCTTAAGCAAATCCACAAGTTATACTAAAGGTAGAAAATGTGATGGCAATTCTTGTGCCACTACTGATAAGACAATTTCTGATCTGTCCGTATTAACTAGGCTCCGAGGTCTGGTTTGGAGTTAGCAACAGGAAAGAGAGCGTTTGATGGAGAGACTTTTGAATTCGATAAGGGAACGCCAAAATGCTACCTAGAATTAGCCAAAAGATGCATGAAATCTGATTGTCAGAGTTGGATATAGTTTGAAGAGATGGAACAAGAAGCAATTTTTTGAAGCGGATAATATCGAACAAGAATTAAAATCACTGATTCATCCAAATGATATGTACAAGAGTAAATCGATCAACACCAAAAAGATAATAGAAGTGTTAATTAAAATCAAAAACTCAAGGCATAAATTCTCAACATCATCTTTCTAGTGTAACGATTAATTTTTCCTGTGTCTCATCACTTCCGTATTTGTCTAATTCTTTAAGTCGTCACCATCATAGTCATGTTAATCTTACCCTAGTAGTATTAGGCATTATTATATTCTTGGTAGCTTATTTCATGCCAAGCGTTTACGCTCATACGCGCTTGCATAAACTTGTGATCATTGCACCTTGGCTTAGTTGAGGATAACATTCGCTTTCCAAAATTCCTCAATAAATAAAGGTCACTTATATTTACATTCTTTTTTATCATAAATGCCTAATAAATTATGAATATCCGAATACCATAATTTATTGCTCCATCATATGACCTTCTAACGTCAACCATCGGAGTTAAACTCGGCATGACATTAGCAAGCTCTCCCTTACGATGGTTACACTAGGAAGAGTTCATTATCTTGTTATAGGATATGTATTGTAATACAAAACTATATATTAAAAATAAAATTTGGTATTATAATGTTTTTTGTTAAGATTTTACTATAGTAAATATAAAATTATTAAACCAATTTAATAGTTATGAGTAGGGGTCTGCAAATGCCCATGCCCGGCACATTGGCACAAGGCCGGGCACTAGTGCCTTGTGCCGTGCCGTGCCTGTGCCTATAGGCATAAAAGTGCCAGGCACTATTAAAGGCATAGGCACTTTGTGCCAGGCACCAATTCCGGGCACTATTAAAGGCATAGGCGCTTTGTGCCGGGCACTAATGCCAGGCACAAATTACCAGGTGCAAAATGCCGGGCACAAAGTTTAGTTGCGAAACAAAATTTTAAAATTGATTATAATTTTACTATTAAACCACTAACCCACATAATAAGTGTCGCGGCTGATGCTGAAACTGAAATTTGAAACTATATGAGATTTTAAAATTTTTTTTCACTTTTTTTTAGGATTAGGGTTTAGGGTTAGATTTGATATTTTCAGAGTATAGGCGGATTTTAGTAGAGCTTATAATTTTAAATCGAGCCCCCAAATTTCAGAATCTTAATTAACGAAAGACGAAACTAGGTTTCGCGTGAAACCTCAAGGTTTCGTCTAACAATTATACCTGTGTCCGTGCCCATATCTATGCCTATGCCCATGCTTATGCCCGTGCTCATGCCTGTACCCATGTCCATGTCTGTATTTTTTGTTGGGCATGGGCACGAGCCAGGGTTGCAGACCCCTAGTTATGAGGCACAGGATATGTTTGATTATAATCACAAATTTTTATTAGACATGTTCCCATAAATTATGACATAAAAATTGACCGATTATTATTCAGCCGAATTTGATATTAGAAGCTGTAGAGTAGAGGTTGGAACCGGTTTTAAATATTCGAGTTTATCACATCAAAATTCGAGTTTATCACTCCAAAATTCGAGTT